CTAAAAAGTAAAAAACAAAACAAAATAAAAAAAAAACAATAAAAACAAATCAAAATAACACAAAACCAGACGAAAACAAAAAGAAAAAAAGTACCAGAAAAAAAGAAAAAAAAAAAATCATAGTCCTTCGCAAAGCTTCCGAAAAAGGGAAATGCTTAAAGAGAAACACCGATGTTTTATTTCTTGTCAATAGCAACGCCTTGAATCCGGGTTGTCTTTCGCGAGATTGTTAGTCGCCGTTTACACAACCTGGATCTAATCTGAACGTGTTTGTTTTGCTCGAGTCTTGGCTTTGGTGTTGTCTGTGAGCGGGGGGTAGGGGAGTGGGGGGGGGGGGTGGAAGGGTGCAGTGGGATAAGGCCTGGATATGGGGGCGGGGAGTAGGGGGGAAGGGCAGAGGGGTACAGGGAATGGGGGGGTGGGGTGGAAATGGGATAGTGGTACAGAGGGAGGGAGGGGAAGGGGCAGAGGGATAGAGGGGTTGTAGAGGGAAGGGATGGGAGGGGGGGGGGCAGGGTGAGGGAGGGGAAGGGTATAGAAAAAGGGGGTTTAGAGGGGAAGAGATTAGGCATAGGAAGGGAGAAGGAAGGGCGGGAGAGAAAAAAGGGAGCTGTAGAAGGTAGGAGGGTAAGAAGGAAGAGAGAGTGAGAAACTGAGAAGGAAGGAGGGGAGTGGGAGTGGGGGCGGGGGGGGGGGCTTGAGGGGGTAGAGGTGGTAAAGAGGGGATAGATAAGAGATGGAAGATGGAACAGGGTAGCGGAGGTAGAGACGAGGCTGAAGTAATAGTGAGGGGAGAGGTGATAGAAGTGTGGGGGGAGGGAGGGGGAGGTACTACAGGCGGGTAGCGGTAGAGAGAGGGGGGGGGGGTGTTGAGAAGATAGAAGGAGGGTGGAGGTGACGCAGGGGGTGGGGGGGGGAGAGGCTGAGAGGACACAGAGGGGAGGTAGAAGGGATAGTTGGGGGGAGGGATAGTGTGGTAGAGGGGTGGCAGTATCTGTGATTAATTCACTCCCGTCATAATCTATTACACGCCATAAAACTATAATCATCTGTCGTTGAATAATTAATCACATGCCGCTAAGTAATGGATGGCAGGGGTAGCCATTAATATAAGTATCAGGTATAGGCTTTCCGAGGTATGGGAGAGCGTGATGTCACAGAAGGATAAAGTTAAGGAAAGGGGGAGAGGGAAGGGAGGAGGAAAGGGAGGAACGAAGGGGAGACTGGGAGAATTAGAAGAGGGGAGAAGGGAGACCGGAATGAAGGGAAGAGTACAAGTGAAGGGAGAAGGGGGGGGGGGTGTTGAGAAGATAGAAGGAGGGTGGAGGTGACGCAGGGAGTGGGGGGGGTAGTTAATCAATAGAGAACAGCTTCCACAAAAAATATATGAAAGTATATATATTCATTATATCGTATAAATTCTATAAGATGTATTTAATAGTACGTACACTATTAAGGCAAACAAAGTTCCATGCATTGTATTTATCTGGCTATCTATCTATCTATCTACACGCACACCTATCTGCTAATCTGCCAATAAATCAGTCTATCTATCTATCCCTCTATCTATCTACCTATCTACCAGTCTATCAATAGATCTATCTATCAACCTATCTACCAGTCTATCAATAGATCTATCTATCAACCTATCTACCAGTCTATCAATAGATCTATCTATCACCTATCTACCAGTCTATCAATAGATCTATCTATCACCTATCTACCAGTCTATCAATAGATCTATCTATCAACCTATCTACCAGTCTATCAATAGATCTATCTATCAACCTATCTACCAGTCTATCAATAGATCTATCTATCAACCTATCTACCAGTCTATCAATAGATCTATCTATCACCTATCTACCAGTCTATCAATAGATCTATCTATCAACCTATCTACCAGTCTATCAATAGATCTATCTATCAACCTATCTACCAGTCTATCAATAGATCTATCTATCAACCTATCTACCAGTCTATCAATAGATCTATCTATCACCTATCTACCAGTCTATCAATAGATCTATCTATCAACCTATCTACCAGTCTATCAATAGATCTATCTATCAACCTATCTACCAGTCTATCAATAGATCTATCTATCAACCTATCTACCAGTCTATCAATAGATCTATCTATCAACCTATCTACCAGTCTATCAATAGATCTATCTATCAACCTATCTACCAGTCTATCAATAGATCTATCTATCAACCTATCTACCAGTCTATCAATAGATCTATCTATCAACCTATCTACCAGTCTATCAATAGATCTATCTATCAACCTATCTACCAGTCTATCAATAGATCTATCTATCAACCTATCTACCAGTCTATCAATAGATCTATCTATCAACCTATCTACCAGTCTATCAATAGATCTATCTATCAACCTATCTACCAGTCTATCAATAGATCTATCTATCAACCTATCTACCAGTCTATCAATAGATCTATCTATCAACCTATCTACCAGTCTATCAATAGATCTATCTATCAACCTATCTACCAGTCTATCAATAGATCTATCTATCAACCTATCTACCAGTCTATCAATAGATCTATCTATCAACCTATCTACCAGTCTATCAATAGATCTATCTATCAACCTATCTACCAGTCTATCAATAGATCTATCTATCAACCTATCTACCAGTCTATCAATAGATCTATCTATCAACCTATCTACCAGTCTATCAATAGATCTATCTATCAACCTATCTACCAGTCTATCAATAGATCTATCTATCAACCTATCTACCAGTCTATCAATAGATCTATCTATCACCTATCTACCAGTCTATCAATAGATCTATCTATCAACCTATCTACCAGTCTATCAATAGATCTATCTATCAACCTATCTACCAGTCTATCAATAGATCTATCTATCAACCTATCTACCAGTCTATCAATAGATCTATCTATCAACCTATCTACCAGTCTATCAATAGATCTATCTATCAACCTATCTACCAGTCTATCAATAGATCTATCTATCAACCTATCTACCAGTCTATCAATAGATCTATCTATCAACCTATCTACCAGTCTATCAATAGATCTATCTATCAACCTATCTACCAGTCTATCAATAGATCTATCTATCAACCTATCTACCAGTCTATCAATAGATCTATCTATCAACCTATCTACCAGTCTATCAATAGATCTATCTATCAACCTATCTACCAGTCTATCAATAGATCTATCTATCAACCTATCTACCAGTCTATCAATAGATCTATCTATCAACCTATCTACCAGTCTATCAATAGATCTATCTATCAACCTATCTACCAGTCTATCAATAGATCTATCTATCACCTATCTACCAGTCTATCAATAGATCTATCTATCACCTATCTACCAGTCTATCAATAGATCTATCTATCAACCTATCTACCAGTCTATCAATAGATCTATCTATCAACCTATCTACCAGTCTATCAATAGATCTATCTATCAACCTATCTACCAGTCTATCAATAGATCTATCTATCAACCTATCTACCAGTCTATCAATAGATCTATCTATCAACCTATCTACCAGTCTATCAATAGATCTATCTATCAACCTATCTACCAGTCTATCAATAGATCTATCTATCAACCTATCTACCAGTCTATCAATAGATCTATCTATCACCTATCTACCAGTCTATCAATAGATCTATCTATCAACCTATCTACCAGTCTATCAATAGATCTATCTATCAACCTATCTACCAGTCTATCAATAGATCTATCTATCAACCTATCTACCAGTCTATCAATAGATCTATCTATCAACCTATCTACCAGTCTATCAATAGATCTATCTATCACCTATCTACCAGTCTATCAATAGATCTATCTATCTACCTATCTACCAGTCTATCAATAGATCTATCTATCAACCTATCTACCAGTCTATCAATAGATCTATCTATCTGTCTGTCTATCTACAAACTATTTACCTGGCTGAAATGATCTCACGTACACACACACACACACACACACACACACACACACACACACACACACACACACACACACACACACACACACACACACACACACACACACACACACACATACCCATACCCATACACACAAAAAAAACATAAACAAACAAATAATAATAATAATAATAATAATAATAATAATAATAATAATAACCAACGCAACGCTTTATCCCAAAATACTGTTTTGGGTGAAAAAAAAACTTTGCGAAAAAAAAATAAATAAATACGATTCCAACTTTTAATAAAATAAACACAAACTCGCCAAACCTTAAAAAAGGGGAATGGCCTTATCGTCTTTATTTACACCCTAAGTTGCCTAGTTCAAATAACAGCAGAAACACGACGTTGTATGACTACAGGTTTTCTGCAATATGCAAATGAGCTTGTCAGGTTTCAGTCGCTCCTGAAATTCACCGGCATGGAACGTCCTCACGCATCAATAACTCACAATGATATTTCTGGTATCGGGAATGGTAAAAAATGAAAAAAAAAAAAAAAGAAAAAAAAAAAAGAAAGCGGAGAGAGAGAGTGAGGATGGGTGGGAGGGAGGGAGGGAGGGAAATAGATAGACACACACATATGTACACACACACACAGTGTGTGTGCGTGTGTGTGTATGTGTGTGTGTGTGTGTTTGCGTGCGTGAGAGAGAGAGAGAGAGAGAGAGAGAGAGAGAGAGAGAGAGAGAGAGAGAGAGAGAGAGAGAGAGAGAGAGAGAGAGAGAGAGAGAGAGGCAGGCAGACAGACAGACAAACAAACAAGCATATAGCCACCTAAAAATAAAAGAGCATAGATAGATTACATTTTTCTGGCATGAAAACAAAAACAAAAAGTCAAGTAAAATCACAGACAAAAAATGAAAAAAAAATAATAATAATAAAATATAAATAGAAAAAAATACAAAAAGTAAAATAAAAACACATTGATAAAAAGTAATAAAGAAAATATACCAAAAATATATGTATTTTTTATTTTTTTTTTCTATATT